CTGTTTCCATGCGGCGATCGACGTTCTCCGAGCGACATATAGCTTCCGCAGATTGGACAGTCGGTTCTGAAGCGGATAGGAAACGCATGTAGTTGATCGGGTACGCTGGATAGATATTAGAGAATGCTCATCGAATGAGCAAGAAATCAACTTACGACCGAGATCCATTAAGGCACCACCTCCCAGTTTGTAGTCGTATCGGATGTCGTCCTTCTTGAACATTACATTTCCCCAGAGACCAAAATGAGCGTACATCTTTGTGATCTCCCCTAGAGATCCTTCATCAATGATATCCTTCATCTTCTTAATAGCAGGATGGAATCTAGCAGTCCATATCAGAATTCCCAGTCGGACCTTTCGAGAAAGGTGAATCTCCACTACGCACTGAGGTTGCCAGGTCTCTAAAAGCACCAACCCCTTTTCCTCCGCCAGAGAGAACATCCTTCGCGTCTCTTCCTCGTTGTCTGCGATAGGCTTGTCGCACATAACATGCTTTCCGGCATTAAGGGCTTTCATTGTCCACTCGTAGTGGAGAGCATTCGGCAGCTAAGTCGGCCATTATCACGCGCTCGCCAGGGGAGGAAATTTGAAGACCTACACCGATATAGACAACGTCAAGCTCCGCGTCGTCAAGCAGATCTACGTGGGTCGTTTCAAGAAGCGGGGGTGATGGTAGATATGCGATTCACCGACCTTGGTACCCACTTTCTCCACCGTAGAATTTGGGGATGCTCCACTTATGAGCGTACTCTTCCGCACGACTCTTGTTGCGAGCAGCCACCACTGTTACTAGCACGTCTTCATGGCATCTGGCAGGCTTTATGATAGCATCCGGGGCGATGCGCGACGCGCCCAGCAGCCCAACGCGCAGAGGGTTCTCCGTCTTCTTTACGGTGGGCGGATTGGTGGTCTAGAATGCTATAAGTAACAGATACAAAAGTCCTTGAAGCCATACGCACCTTTCGAATGCGGCTGATGAAGGACAACATCGTTCAGCACGCTGGGGGAGAACCTGTGGCCTGTGGGAAACAGTTGGTCCCCTTTTAGGTCGGTTACGTGGTCAGATTCCCGATGAGAGGTTAGCCAAAGCGTTACTGGGAGCGTGTGCCATTCATCAATGGACGTCCGCATGGGCGATGGGGGATATGCATATGCATCAGGGCCCCAGCATCGTCTACTCCTCGAGTCAATATGGCGGAGCTGGAGCAGTAGAGGTGAAATCAAGCCTCCTCAGAGAGTCAACAGCAACAATCAACACTTGAAAATCCGAGTAAGAGGTAGAGAACATGTGTTCAGTCGTGTTTCAGCAGTTGCTCGGAGACGGTGACCGACTCATGCCACAGCCGGCGCTTATGAGAGAGCAACTCCGCAGAGTAGGCGCCCATGTGGGTCTAGATCTTGCCTGCCGATCGGATCATCCCCAATATTTACCTCACGTTTCGCTGTCGCACTAAATCTTATCCACCTTCACGCTCTCTTGTCGCATTGTCTCTGTTTTGCGATATAATATCGTACATCCACAACGTAGCAACACTTAGCCTTCCAGCTGCGATATTATTAGGTAATTTCGCTAATGTGCTCTTCCGATGACACGGAAAAGCTGCGCGAGAGGAACAAGCAGCCATTCTGCCAGCGTACCGCATCGGCTTGACTCGCCTCACAGGGCCACCAACGGAGAGCTTTTGCCAGAAGAAGAATTCTGGCACAACCACCAAAAATGGCTGGAAGAACAAGGCTACATGCTCCGCTCCCGGTACAAACCAGATTGGACACCCTCGTGGAAGGGCACCAACAAGAAGTATTGGCAATGTGAAGACGGCCAGAGTATTTTGGTAGGATCTTCGACTGCTGCGTGATTTGGGCTGACCCAATGGCCAGGTCCCTCACCTGCTAGACGCCACGCGGATCTCCGATGGCCAGATGGTGGTTCTCAAGCGAATCCTCACGACGCAGCACCCGTATGAAGTCGAGATCAGTCGACTTTTCTCGGAGGAGCCGCTAGCGTCAGATCCACGCAACCATTGTGTCTCCATACTAGACGTTCTGAAAGTTGAGGACGAGAGCGATATGGTGATCTTGGTTATGCCACTCCTTCGCCGTTATGACAGTCCTCGATTTGAGACCGTGGGAGAGGCCTTGGACTTCTTCCAGCAGATATTCGAGGTGACCCGCGTTGCAACCGTGTAGACTGATATACTTACAAAGCCTCCGTCCGGCATCGCGTCGTCATTCACAGGGCTTGCAGTTCATGCATCAACATCAGGTCGCACATCGGTTAGTATCCGCATTTGTTCGTCCATATTTGGCTCATGCTGTCACAGCGATTGCATGAATTTGAATATCATGATGGATCCTAAACCCCTCTATCCCGAGATGTACCATCCAAGGGTCATCGACTGGTCCCGCGACATGCGGCGGCCAGCCAAACACTTCTCCCGCACCACCCATCCGACGAGATACTACTTCATCGACTTTGGCTTATCGCGCAAGTACAATGCTGACGAAGGACAGCCTCGGGAGCCGCCAATCCAGGGTGGCGACAAGTCTGTTCCGGAGTTCCAGCGCTCATCAGAACCGTGTGATCCCTTTCCGACTGACATATACTACATTGGCAACCTAATCCGCGAAGACTTCCTCCAGGTATGCCACTTAAGTACATGTGTCTTGTTACGGTCGCTCACCGGGCTAATCAGAAGCTCTGTGGCGTCGAATTCATGAAGCCCCTGGTGGAGGATATGGTGGCGGACGACCCTACGAACCGCCCCACCATCGATAATGTGCTAGCCCGCTTTAGACAAATTCACGCATCGGTTGGCCACCGGAAACGCCGATCACGTCTAGCCGATCAAAGAGAATCGGTGGCCCGACAAGCTCGCAGGAATGTCAAGCACGCGTTTATCGCTATTGGACATATAATCGCCTCCCATCCCGCTGTTCCTACTGTATAGCAATATAATCGTGGTACCCTATTACCATCATGTCGCGGCCGCCGCTCAACCTTTGATCTTAGTGTTCACGTAATTCAAACCAAAGGTCTCGGCGATACTGGGGTCACGATAGCGATACAGTGGACATAACTTTGTACAAAACCTATCGATTAGCAATATGGCGGCGAAGGAATGGGCACGGTGGGTGGGCGCTTGTCTGTTTATGGTCAGTAGGGACCATTGACTCGCTGGAAGGCGTCCAGCTGCCTCGCATTCACGAACAACTGAACCAGATTCTACAACATGATGTTGTTGAGGCGTCATTACCGACTTCTGCTGACTGAACACACGGCCGGCATGATGCCCCCAAAACATTCGAGAACAGTGTTATGCCCAAAAGAAGCACCGAGCGCCCATAAGCTGAGAAGTTCGGGCTGCTTTGAGCACCGGGAAGTAGGGTGCGCTGTCATGCAAATGATCTGCTGACGACTGTAGCGACATATTGTCTAAAGTGTCTGACGT